TCAGTGGTTAGCGCGAATTTGCTGACCGGAAGGCCCATGACTCGAACCCGACCTCCGCCTCTCGACTTCCTCTGTCCAGGCTTAGGCAACTTGACAGTGTCTCAGCCCTCGCACTTCCTTTGAGTAGCATGGCAGCTAGGCATCGAAAGTGTGTTACAGCTGAACGATTATCGATTTTATCCTCCACTATCAAGTTCACTGACACCCTTTTATTCACGGATCAGTTATATCAATTACTGCCTCCAATACGTAGCTATCCACCTTACCTCCTCAGCTCATTTGCAAACGAAACTGACAGCTGTAACCACCGTACAAAATAGACGCCATTTTTACAGCTAAAAGTGCTGACAATGATGAACAAAGCTAGTGTTTATGTGAGCATAAACAGGTACAGTTAACGGGCAGCAATTATCAGCTCATTTATTGGGTACTATCACAGATGGTGCCATACGAGCCTCACATGGGCGACTACTTTCGAGAAGAGACTTTTCTACATGGTGGCTTAAAACAGCAAGGTCAACCGCAGCGGCTTCTGGATCACCCGGCGTGCGTAGCCAGAAGTTAGAAGGAACTAATGATGATCTCAGATCAACAATCGTACTTTGGTCTTGAATCCTCGTTCCAGCACCAAGAAGTAGACAGCAAATCCAACGTACATGCGAGATTGGTCTGTTGTCCAGCTTGTTCTAGAGTGCGAACTTCGAAGGCTGTTGAATGAACTGAGCTTCGGGATGTGACTAATGATTTCAACGTGTCTGAGGCCACGGTAAAATAAAATAGGCCATGGTAGCTTAGTTAGTTTGGTTATTGTAGGTGTGCTGGCACAACAATCAACCCATCGCCACGCACCACTACGCTCCCTAACAACGCACTGATGATGTCACTTCGATTGGTGGTGAAACGTTTGCACTCAAATTGCCCAGCTCAGCGAACAAACCAGCGACCAGAAAGAGAAGTGTTAATTCCCGTTGGAGTGGAATACCTCTTATTCATTGTCGATGAAAATGGTCTTCGGCTTGACTTATGAAACACCGCTGCAATCATGAGAATGCTTCGCCACTCAGCACCTCTGAACTTCGGTCTTTTTTGGGTTTGGTGAGCTACTACACCGTTCGCACGAATTCTATACCCGACTTCTGACCAAGGGGTGTCGGTGAGAATGGTCACACGGCTCTCTGCTTGTATTAAGACCGGTGACGAGACCACTTCCGCAGTTCTTGCGGATTTCAACTATCGTTTGCCGATCATTCCTACTGATGCATCGAACTCTTGCCAGGCTAACAACGAAGCACTGACCATCTTTATTGTTGGGAACTTTTACAAAGTGATATACGACCGAAAGTTCACACTTGTAACGAGTTACAAACGAATATTGGCTTTTGATTCCAAGGGAGGTATCGTAGTCCGCACGTTAACCGATTGCAATCTTGAGGCACAGTCCCGCTTGGCTACCTCTTCACCATAAAATGTCTCAACTGAGGACATTGGATAGGAAGGTACGCTTTGGTGCTTGGTAGGTTTGGGTGTGGTGAAACCACATCGTACCGACATACCAGCCGTTGCTGTCGAATCGGAAGTCCATGCTGCAGTGTTGGAAGCCATAAACCAACTGCCGGTGACTTTTGACATGGTTCATGATGCTACACAAAATGACGATGTACACCAGAAGGTAATGGAGTACCACCAAATCAGCTGACCAGGAACCTGGCTTCCAGGAGAATTTAGACAGCTGTTTCAACGACGAAATTCGTTGTCTGTTATCTTTGATTGCCCTTTTTTCGGCGATAGAATCGTCGTTTCGCAATCGGATAAGCGGTATGAGAACCCTCGCTCACAGCTGTTTGTTGGAAAGCTATAGTTAAACATATGAAATAGGTATGCTGGAACATTTTCCGGTGCGTGGCCACCCAGAATTCGCCTAAGAGACAATCATGGCAGCCTTGGCCACGGTCAGAAAAATAATGGTCGTATGTCCATATGGCTTTCGCCGGACCAGTTAACGGACAAAAAATTCTATTCGTCGGTGTCTTCAGTAAGTGGCCTGGAGTTTTTATCGTTTCAGACAACGGCGATGGTTACAATCACTTAACTGGTATATTTTTAGCCTTCGGCCTCGTATCAACATGTGTCCGGCAACGGTGTTTAGTTCACACCCTACCGATTCGGTGGTTTCATCTGAATGCTTAGCATTACTCATATTCCCAGCATTCCATCCGTAGTCCAAAGGTGAAGCTGACATGCTCGTGGATGCATTTGAACTACTTTTACAAAAACAAAAGGGGGCTACGACAGAATTTTGTACACTCCTGTTAAACTACGGAACAATGACCAATCCGTAGTCTCTTGACGGTTGCTGTCGCACAGAAGTTATGGCAAACAGACGATTGAGACTTACACACGACGCCGTCCTACTTGCACGTACTCTCAGTGACGAAAGGTAAGTTGGCGTTCCGACACAAAAGTCATGTAAGTGTGAGAGATTGTCGTCCTGTTCACAGGGGCTGGGGTGTTGTAATCATTCTCAAAAGAATCGGTAGGGTGATTTATGGTTAAGTTAATCGCTATAGAACTGGTACGTTAACAAGCCATATCTGACTGAATGCCCAGCTTCAAAAACAGAAGAGCAGCCACGGGATCCAAACTCACTGCTTGAAATCATTGAGAGCCAGCCGAACCGGCTGCTCTCATCTATACCACCCGCTACAGTGGTTGACGTGCAAATTTCGTGACCGGAAGGTACGTGGTTCGGCCGTGACCTTTATCTCGACTGCTTCCGTCTAGGCTTGGGCAACCTGGTAGTATCCCATCTTTCTTACCTCTCTCTGTTAGCATGGCATCATCATCATCATCAAAGACAGCAACGTCATTGTTGACACTGATGCCTCACTGCCGTACAACCATGAGGTTTGTCTTATTATATTTAAACCCCTAGAGTAAAAAAGAGGAAGAGAGTGGATGAGGGAGGGGACATAGTGCTAACTTATGCCAAGCGTTCTGAGGTGCCTACACAGGCAGACAATCTGGAAAGAAACTGACAGCACGAACACCGCTGGCATTGATCAGCGGCCATTTCTTGCAACGTCTCCAGCCAAGCACAGGTGGGGTCACGGGGACTCCATCCTGGAAGTCTCACAACACCAACAACACCCAAACTCTTCGTGATCCCTTTCACGCCCTTCTGCCAAGTCAAGTGTTGTCCACCTCGCGGTTTGCGCCATTCTGAAGGAGGCACGGAAAACAACACTCGTCTCGGTAGACGGTGTTTCGACATGCGTCGCACACGACCGAGCAATTGTATTCGGTGATGCTGGATGTTTCCCCGACTGAAGTACCTGCCGCACAACCAAATACCCGTTTTCTAATCACCTCGTTGCTAAGACGCTGACGCCATCCAAAACCAGGAACCTTTCGAAGTAACGAATGGAGTAGCGTGTTTTCAGAGGACAATGGATGACATAATACGCGTTGAAAAACTTACCGGGACATATACGTATGTGGATAATATCGCCATTTGTGGTTCGAGCCTTTGCGATTCTCGCACTGATTTCATCAGACACATTTCCGTCAGAGATAATGCAACTACCGAGGTATGTAAAGTTTTCCACCACCTCCAGTAATTCTCATTGAATTGTAAAGGATACGTTCGCAGATTGCGTGTTCTGAAGCATGAATTTGTACTTTGAAGGTGCGAGGTGCATGCCAAAAGATGGTATGATAGTGGTCAATCTATTCAACAGAGCTTGTGCTTCGCTTTGGTCTTCAAAGATGAGGGCGATGTTATCTGCGTACTCCAGATCTACAAGGCTCTCACCAGCAACAATTTGAACACCGGGGTTTTGGAGACCGTCCAGTGTTCGCCTCATTATTTCATCAATTATGAAGTCGAATAAGAATGGAGAGAGTGGACATCCTTGTCTGAAACCACTTTTTGTAGGGAAGCTTTTCGAAAGCTCACCATACACTCTCACCCGCCCTGAAGTGTGTGAATATAGGGATCGGATTATGTTTACAAACTTCTGGGGCATACCCTGTTGAGCAAGTGTAGTTAACAACACTGACCGATCGACAGAATCGAACGCACCGTTGAAGTCAAGGAATACCAAGATTGTTGGTCGTCTACACGTGGCGTTGCTCCAACATCTGATGGAGTGTGAAGATTTGGTCAGCGCAGCCTCTACATAGTCGAAATTCCGCTTGGTTCTCACGAGTCGAGGGTTCGCGTGCCACCAAAAGACGTCGAAGAATCAGCGACGCCAGAAGCCTTGTCACAGCAGGAGTCAAACTTGCACCTCTGTGGTTACTACATTCAATGCGAGTGCCCTTTTGGAAAATGGGCACCACTGTCGATTATCCCCAGTTGTCTGGGACGATCTCTTTCTCCCCAAATAGATCCAAGGCTAGACAAGCACTGGCTGAGAAGTTCACCGCCATCCTCGAAAAGATCAGACGTCTTCAGGACCAGCAGCACGTTGGCACGGTATCTGGATACCGAAAGGGTGCTACAGCTGAATGATTTGATTTTTTAAGCGGACCAAATGGACCTACTCACTTTGTAGTCTACATGAGAATTACTGCTATCGGATGCGTTCAGGGACGGAAGAACCCATTCTACGTTTCTTGCTTACTCTCCGGGCCACTCACTTCTGAAGAGGTTCACCCTGGCTTTCCGTTCAAAAGGTTCGTCTGAGTCTTGGTAGCGTTTTCAGGTGCCCCAAACAGCTGGTTAGCGTCATAGACTTCATGGACATCGTCTTCAGTACCCGTGATCAAAAGTACGAATTTGATGATCTTTTGTTCACTGGGTACCAGTTATATGTATTCATATTCCTTGTAGAATGCTTCACTCTTCACGGCAGCGAAGTAAGCTGCTAAACAAAAAGATGGCATAATCAACTTAGAAGGGACGGGTCCCCTACGTTTCTAGACACTCATCAAATGCGCTTACTAAGACCTCATCTTTACCAAGTATCACTTATCCGTTGACATATCAATATATTTCAGCTTTCCGTCATGTCCATCTGCCGCCAATTATATTCGTTACACAATGCGTTGCGGCAAAGCAGCGCGCTTCGTACCATCCTTCCAAGATCTTTATCTTCTCATGCATTCACCTATCACCCAAGTGAACCTATAGAAAATGCAGGATCGACTGAACAAATGAATCTATTTCAGGCGATCGGAAATGCCATCTCAACGGTCCTAGAAACAAAGCCAAACTCTTGCGTGTTCGGCGAAGACGTTGGGTTCGGTGGTGTTTTCCGTTGTACCGTTGGTCTGAGGGATAAATTTGGCAAGCTTCATTCCCATAAATAATGTACTCTGTCTCTTTCGTTCAAGGACAAGACCGGGTGTTTAACACGCCCTTGTCAGAACAGGGTATTGTGGGATTTGCTATAGGCCTGGCGGCATCCGGTACTGTGGCAATTGCCGAGATTCAGTTCGCCGACTACATTTTCCCGGCTTTTGATCAGATTGTGAACGAGGCCGCCAAGTTTCGATACCGGTCGGGGAACTTATTCGATTGTGGTCGGCTGACCATCCGAGCTCCAGTGGGAGCAGTTGGTCACGGGGCAATATATCATTCACAGAGTCCTGAAGGATTTTTCGCACATGTTCCAGGAATAAAAGTAAGCAGCTGGTAATTCACTTTCACGACACACTACTTATAAGGTGGCTCGACATTTACGGTTTTATCTTTCTCGAGGCGAGGGTCATTGGAAATGCACAATCTTCTAGTTCCAACCTTATGTTCTGATTGGACACTAAATTTTACGCACTTGGCGGAATACACCCATTTGCAAACGATGTCGATACTCACGGGAAACTCAACAAACCCCAGTTGGATCTCTTGTTTATGGTATCCCTCAAATTAATGTGAGGCACAACATCTCATACTTCAGTTGATATGATGTTCGAGATATCGAAGTATGCTTTTTTGGCATAACGCATTACTAGAAGGTTGCTACTAGCTCTGCGGAAACCCACTGCCAGCTTTGCCCTTTCGAATATCGTACCGATTGAAACATGAGGTGACCTTCGTGCTGCGCGTTCAGTAAAAAAAATACCATGAAAGAGAGGTTCAGCCGAATTTTCCGTTAACGGCAAATTAGTTGGCAAATGAGCATCCTTTACCAATCAAATAATGGATACTTTGCGTTGGATGCATACCATTCAGACGCACGTGCTTTCGTATATTTAAGCTACAAGTCGAGGTGAATTAGAAAATGACCACTATATATATATATATATATATATATATATATACGAGGTNTATATATACGAGGTGCATGTGTACGTACTTGCCGTATTTTTTTTTTAACAAATGCTTGTAATATCCATAACAAGATTAATGCATAGTTCCGAATAGTCCTTCATTGCGTTCTGAAATCAATCCAAGAATAATGATCCCATTTTAGGGAGAAAATCTGTGAATATTCTATCTAGAAAGGATTCGACTTCAGGAAGCCTGAGGAGATTTGGGGCTTTCTCCTGAAAGTGAAGCCAGTCTACACCGAGAATTCCGAGAAGCACTGTATAAGTGCTGCATCCTTATTGGGAATCATCAGCAGCGCGCATCTCATGAAAGCGTTCAGCTGTAGCACCCTTCAGGTGCCTAGCTGCCATGCCACCTGAAGGAAGCATGGGGGCTGGGATACTGCCAGGTTGCATCTCATGAAACCACAGAGAGTCTCGAATCCGGGATCTTCCGACTTGTGGTTTCAAAATCTAACCTTTTGGCCACTAGCTCCTGACCAGCAGTGTGATTAATTCAGACTAACCGGAAGGCCGCGAGTCCGAGACTCTCTGGGGGTTTCATAGGGTGCGCGATGCTGACGATTCTCAATAAGGACGAAGCAGCTGTGCAGTGTTTCTCCCTTCATAATATACTGTTGCTTCACTTAGAGGTCTCAACTTTGGAATTTTTGGTTCTGACTGGTTGCTGATTCATTCGGCAATCTGAAGTCAGAATACTTCATCTGAATTCCGATCGAATTTGAGAAGCGTCTGATCATTTCAAAGCTGTTGACTTGAATTTTGGGCGCGAGGTTGTAGTGCAGATTTCGTTGAGTGTCGAGAAGTCCAGTGACGTGGACCTTTTGGTTTTTGCTGGGTCCCACTGATTGATCTCACCGGGGTCATATTCTGAGGTCGGTAACAATAGGGCATTTGTTAACTCACAACATATCTACTAAATCATGCGATCAAACATCTGGGTACATGGCTCGATGCTTGTCATGAATTCGACCTCAGTTGCTGTAAAAGCGTGCGAAGGTTAAGCAATGGTTTTCACCACTGGTGTACTGCTGTTCATGATAGCGATGAAGACGGTTGCAGTTGCTCGTTTCATTCCTTAACCGTTTCTGAACTTAATCGATCTCGTTTGAATTATTTCACTCTGTTGCGAGATTTGCTAGTGCGAAACAGATGTATGTGTCTGTGTGTGTTCGTGTTTTATAACAAGTGCTGCTGCAGTGTTAAAATTCCGTTAGGCTTAATTTGCTTCGTTTTTAGCGATTACATCTCGGGATTCCTTGCTACCTATTTCAGGCTTCTCACCGTCAGTTGTAAGTCGATGCATGTGTACTAAGTCGGGAACGCAAATACTCAAAGAAGCAATATTTTAGATATTTAATTGGTGTTGTACCTGGCACACAAAGTGTGCGAATGAGTATTAAACCTCAGCTCTTTAAAGTTGCTGATTGATATTCTATCCCTTATTGGCTTATTAGTTCGAAGTATCATTTGATCAACTAATATGATAGCAACTTTTGAACTGACCTCACTAAGGCGAAGCCTCGCTACTTGCCTCCGAATGACGTGAAATCTAGTGGGGCTACTAAGTCAGGGGGTGTTATAGACAATGTATCTTCTTCCTGAGTGTAATTCGTTGTCTTCTGATGCTAGGTTGGCGTGATTCACACGGGTAATCCTCCGGGAAGGGGGTTCCTCAGGTGGTCTTTTGGATTAAGTCTTCGGCGTATGGGTAACAATTAATCGTGACTAATGAAAAAAGCTCTTGTGACGTCTCCAGGAGAGTTATGACCCTTCGGAGGATCCCCTCCGGGACGATGTTACATAAAGAAATAATTGTTTTCGCCACATTGAAGTTGCAGTTTATCTGGTCAGTAAGCAATTAGGCTGTGGTGCACTCAAATCATGTGGGAGATTCGGTTATCGGTGGCATTTCTGTGTGCAGCATTTTTACGTGATTTCCGATCGATTTTCCCCTTGTTTGGGATCTTTTTTTAAAGGGATTTAATGGTGCAAAATCGGGGCCAAGGAAAATATTCCTTACACATGGAAATTTCTCTCAGGTCAAACCAATGTTCTAATGGTTTCTGAAAAAAACTTTGGTTGTTGTGAGCTAAAAAATGGTTTGTCGCTACTAGATGGGGTTGCCTGAAAGCACTGGGTAGACCGAAATCTGGTTGTTCTCTAAGCTCACGCATCAAGCAGGGTCTTTTGAAACTCCTACAGGAGTACCTACGTGCTACACTTACAGTTACGTTGCCTGTAATCAGCCAGGAAAAGGGCATGACCATAATTAAAAAAATTCCCAAACCGGCAAAACTTGGATTTAAGGTCCACAATGCAATGTTACAAGCATGTTAAAGAAAAGTTCGCAGTAAGGAGCGTGGCACTGTTTACTAGCTCATAGACAACACAATGTCACCTCGGAATTTCAGACCTAGCAGATCCGAGCGATCACAGATTGGGGACGCATCAACTTCCTATGAAAATGGCCGGCTGGAAACAGCCAGCATCTTCAGGCTGTCAGTTTGGCAAACAGTTCCTGGGCCATGAGCCAAGAGACGTAAAAATTTTCCATACTATTAATCCGGGAATTGATATGCTCGTTGAGTTGAATTAACGGTGTGTGTATGTGTGGGTTGCCAGGATAGACTGAGCAACCGCAGTGTTTGTGGTTTTACTGCACCATTTATCGAGAAGCTACAGTGAAATGCACCGGGCCTGTGAAAGCAGAAGTGAAAAACCGTGACAAGATTTCGACAGCCAATTACTATATCAGGTTATTCGCACTACTTTCAACACATTGTGGGTCGCTGGATGTCATATAAATTATGTTGACGTGATGGTTAGGACCGATTATGGCCTTGTGCCCTATCATGTCAGGTGGTCGCTACAGTGGACTGTTTTTATGGAGGGGCTTAGCTAGTTTACCTGTTCTGATTTTTGAGTTAGGATAAACCATCCGTTGTGGGGTCAGAACATAGAATGATTGGGGATTGCTAAAGTGAATGATCTCTCAGGTAGGTGTTAGCTACTTGCATCAGTGAAGCCTGGCTTATTTGGCCGTTCACCTTATTGACTGGTGGGTCTGGTTCACTCTTCCTGTGCCAACCGATCAGCTAGAACGTCCAAACAATCAGTCATACTTGTTATCCGCTATCGTTGTACATTGCAGTTTTGGCCACTTCGGCATGCGAACAGTTATCAGTCAGCCTTTTCAGTTACTGTTTGGGCTGATATTACAACGATTCGAGCAATTTGAACAAACAATTTTAGAATTGATGGTGACGGCTCATAGGAAGAATAATTTCACAAAACGATAAAACTCCTTCGTGAGTAGTCGTTACTCGAGGAGTCAGACTATAAGTGACCCCGGGATACAGTTTCCGTGATTGAAAGTGCGAGCTAATCATACTGCTGCTCAGCGGCTCGTGGCTGGATGGTTAAGTGTTCAAACTACTCAGCGGGGGGTCGCGAGTTCGAGACTTCTTTGAGTTTCTTCAAATGCGCATTGTTGATTGTTCCCAACTGGAATGAAACAGCTTTACAGCCTGTCAGCCTTTCAGCGCAGGCTGGCTTCACTTACAGGGTGAAGTCTCATTGGAAATTTCAGAATTACTACGGCAGCCACAGGAACATATTACTCGGAGTAGAGCGATGCGACAAAAGCCCTAGGTGAAGCCAGGATCAATAGCCATTAGACCAAGCAGAATAGGAGACAAAAACTGTCCGTGAAGCAAGCAGAGGCCAGCTATCTGGCAAACAGCTGAAAACCATCCTGGGAGGTTTGAGATGTGCAGCGACTGGGCAAAGCAGAGAGCCACCGATCAAGCCATGGACGAGAACGGTCGGTCCAAAGGAACCAAAGATGCGCACAGAAGCGTCTGGACCCATTCCATGCCCAAGGTATCTGTCGGTCCCGAATCCAGGCGAAATATAAACGACCGCATGTAAGAGTCAAAAGTTTGTCCTGTTGCCGGTCTTGTCAACAACAGAAACTCATTTGAAAATAAGAATAGGCGTATTTGAGAGTATCCGCAGTCCAAAGTGGCACGATCAGATTTCCACCACCACTGGATCAGAACTGAGAGATTGACATGGCCGCTCGGAGATCCACGGAGAAAATTAAAAAAAAATTGGTGAAGTAGACTCATCCCAGGATATACAACTGCCCTCCTCTGAACTGTGCACGAAGCTACACAACAGTCGGTCAACCTAACTTCGTTTTGAGTATCCCTACTCTAATCTGGTGCAATCGCTAGACTGCAGGTGAACTTTCAGACGTTTGATTCGGTAGTTCCTCAGCTATAGAAGAACCATATTGTTGTCTATCGACTAAGTTATTGCTTTGCTCATCTCTGTAATTAGTGGCACGTGAGGCAACTGATCTTCGTTCATTTGGTCGTGCGCGTCATCAACTGATGGGTCCTGTTCACTTAGCTTATGCCTACGGATCAGCTGGTGCTTTCATATGCGCTGGTCAGGCACAGACTTCGGAATGCTAAGCTATTGTCGTTTAACGTGAATTCCTGCTTATTTCAACGTTGGAGACGGTCGGCCTTGTTCCAATACTCTCTTGGTGGGCCGTAATATCGGTGGAAAGTTTGGATGGTTATCATAAAGAAAGAGGGTTTTGCCCTGCGGGGGCTATTCAATATTTATAAATCTTCGTTGCGAAATTTTTTCCTGGGTAACCCGGTTTTGATCGATTTAGGAATTCCTTGTGTACGCCGTTTAAATTCAAAAGATGTGTCTCTGGTGGTTTTTGTTCTCCTGGGAACAATTATTTCAGATTTCGTTGTTCTCACTTAAATCGTTCCAAGCCATAAAATTCTAACCATTGTTGGGTAAATTTAATCCACAATAAGTAATTGTTTCATCCTCTTTGAACAGTTCTTGTAGCTGAATGCGATATGATTTTTCTTCCCTCCACTGGCCCTTCACACAACAAGATATCTCTTGGCCTGGGGTTTGACAGCATTCAATACAGACACAAAAATTTAGTCATAATCAAATGTTGACTCTTTCGTACGCAGCTATCTTCTTCAAGAAATACCCCTTTCAAGAACAGGTTTACCCCTCTTACAATGTTATCTGTCAGCCACAATTTAGTACGAATCCTCCCCATATTGTTCTCTTTTCGGGAGGTTACTTTATATGTGCAACTTCAGCATGACGTGTATGCCGTAACAATCGTTCAGCTGTAACACCTTTTCGTCCCCAGCTGCCATGCCACTCGAAAGAAGCACGAGGGCTGGGATACTGCTAGGTTGCCCAAGCTTAGACAGGGGAAGTCGAGAGGTAGAGGTTGGGCTCGACCACGGGTCTTTCCGGTCAGTAAATCCGCACTCTAACCATTGAGCCATCTCGCCCCCATGCCGTAACAAGGTAAAAGCACATTCATTCTTAGAGGTGTTGTATTTCTTCTGCTCCGGCTTTTTGCATTGCATCCCAATATATGGAGTTGTTGGTGAATCTATCCTCCTAGTATGTTTATTCTCGTTACCGATCGTTCACTGGAAGCATTGACCGGAGCCAGCTAGTATAGACACCTTCATCTGTCCTCTGTGTCATCCTCGCGGGTCGTAGCAACGTCCAACCTTTATCATCATGCTACGTTAGTCCTATTTTCTGACGAGAGGAAGTGTTATCTAACCACGGATGTCACGTGTTTCATTTTTCAATTTGTTATTTTTCAAGAATTATTCATTTTCGTCTACTGGGTGCAATTTACCACTCACATTGTCCCATCAATGCAAGCTGTGATAAAGAATTCACCAACTTCTTTTCTTTGCAAAGGTTGTTTTTCCACGTGGTCCAGTCCAAGCAAAGGGACTTCTTCTGGCCTGTGCGGAAGATCCAAATCCCTGTATTTTCTTCGAACCGAAAATACTCTATCGAGCTGCGCAAGAAGAGGTGCCCCTGAAACATTACACGATTCCGCTGGGAACCGCCGAAGTCGTTCGTGAAGGTAATCTCTCGCAGTGTAATGGAAAACCCTGTCCCTAGTGAAGGCATCATTAGTAGTAACTCATTTGATCTAATGTATTTCGAATTTTTAGCGATAAGGTGCTTAGCTGAAGTACGGTCCGCTGAATTCAAGCCACAAGAAACTAGCCGCGCAGGAGTGTTGCATCACTGTAGGATAGAACTTCATACTTACAGACTTTTATGATGAATTCGCTAGTTTAGAGAAACAATTCTTGTGAATTTCATGTTCCGTTATCTTTGCTCAACGTTACGACACGCCGATATCCTTTATTTCGTCCCCTGACAAATAGAACCAGTCTCACTATAGCCGAAGTATGGTTGGTCATTGTACGTGACGCGGTGGCCTGCTTTCTCTGTGCACTTTTGACCGTTACGTTCACTTCCTCCGTAGGCAACGATGTCACACTGATCGCTTGGGGCACGCAAGTTCACGTGATGCTTGATACAGCAGCCGCTGCAGCTGAGTTAGGGGTGTCTTGTGAGGTGATTGACTTGCGTACAATCGTTCCTTGGGATGAAGAAACGATTTACAAGGTCAGTTCAATCTGGTTTGTCTATAGTTGTGAACGGAAAACTGCATACGTCTTTCTTGTCAGCCTACTGTGTCAGAGGCGTGATTTTTTATCGGAACTTTTTGACGGTGGTCTTGCCTTACTGTATGTGAAATATTCAGATTCTTTGTCATCATTGTGAATATCAATACACCAGTAGTAGAAAATGATACTACGATACCGTACGACCATTGAGAAAGGAGGCCCTAATGGGGAAAGGAAAGAAAGGGGAGGGATGGGAACTAAACTGAAAAAGTTGTATGCTATATGGCCTGTCTGCCTCTACCGGTGCGTAGAGTAAGTGGCTTGGCGAGAATCGGATCATACTTCCCCAACAGCTGTTCCGGAATTCGGTGCTCGATATGAATGGTTAGTTGTCAGTACACCATATAGGGAGGCGTTCACCATTGTCGGAATCAGACGGTCCCCTAGGTTTCTCTTGTTCGCCTCTAATAGATCAATATGAGGTTTCATATCTGCAGCTAGTATCTGTGTGCTGCGTGAAGACGTTCATTGAGCTGGAACTAGAATCCAACCCTCAGGAATCCAACCTCTCAACCTGTTCAGATGTAAAAATTCGGATGGGTCCGGCGTGCGCTGGTGGAGTAGTGGCAACACACTCGCCTCGCATGTAAGATAAGAGGAGTTCAAAACCCGGCACGGCTATCGAATATGCACTACAGATGAGCGGAACTCGAGTCCAGTGCTTCCTCCTTTGGTGTGGACTCATCAAAAAAATTGTGCCAGGACAGGAGAACGATTGTTCAAACCAGAGTCATGTGAGTGTGCATTCAACAACATCCCGCAACCATCAACACCTGAAATAGACTTGTGTGCTCCGGACTTCTTTTACCCGATTCAAATGTGTCTCCGAGTCCTACGGCTCAAAGTTTAAAGTTAACCGATATCCTGTCGACCATTCAACAATCGAACCACATGCAGTATCGATGCCCTCAAGTAAACGAACGAAGAAGAAGCGAACACTAAGTGGTGTTCGGAGAATTCCGTAGTCTGATCTCAAAAACTAACAAACGTCGATTTCGAGGATGCTAACTGTGTGGACTAGTGCTGATTTCTGACCAGGTTGTAATAGCGGCCGAACACTATAGGCTGTACTCCTGAGTGATGTGTCAGAATTGCGTATAAGATTATTGATGAGCGTTGTTTCCCTAGCGGTGATGTTAGTTATTCCCTTTCATGGCTTTGATTGTTGCAGTGTGTACTGGACCAGTGTTAGTAACTATACGAAATCGAATGGAAGGCATAAAATGAGGTTGTTTAGGTAAGTTAGAGAGTGTAGTGCGGGAATGTGAATAGTTGATTACTAGCACGCCATAGGGGCAGGCGTTGTCGGAATCGGAATGCCTCATAGGTTTCTCTTGTTTACCCCTAATAGACAACTATGAGCACTCTTGGCTGTAACTAGTATCTTGATATTTAATCTGCGTGCTGTATGAAGAGGCTCACTGAGCTAATGGTGGGGGGGGCTTTGAGGGAGCAGCCTCGTTAAGGAAAGTTTTAACACTCCCTGTCGTTATCGACAGCACAAAACATTAGTCTTCAACTTTGATGCTTCGCTAGCGTACATCCATACTATAGTTGAACACCACTCTGTGACACATTTCCACTTCCTCTTCTTTCAAAAACCTTAGTCTGTTCGTAAAACCGGCCGCTGTGTGATCGCTCACGAAGCTCCATTATCTTCCGGATTCGGTGCCGAGCTGTCCGCGTCCATTCAAGTATGTTGCTCGATGTGTAGTTCCGCTTTGTTTCTTTTCAGATATCCTCAGGGCTTTGTCAGCAAGCAATGATGGGTATCGACGTTATTTCGTCACAGCCGGTTTGTTCAAGTATGCTACAGGAACATACTAGGTGTGGATAGTTTAGCCGGGGATCATAAAGGTGAGACAGTGCAGGGAGAAAATGTTCGACTCACCAGATTGTCTCAGTTGCTCCTCCGAATACCGTCCCAGGCATCAAAATTACCCTGTATGAGAATAGGCAAAATTCAAGTTCCTGTCGTGACAGAAGTTCATCTACAATATGTGTTCTGTCTAAAAGCACCGTATGCATTCCAATGCACCTACGTCTTAAATGTTATTCTGTGGTCATTCGTTATCTTCATCATTGACAGCAATATATCAGTGAAAGGAAGAAGGCCTTCGTTGTGGAGTTGTTTATTAGGGAAACACCAACTGAACCGTTGCAGACTATTGGACAGGAAGGCAAGACTCTCATTCCCATCTTGTTCACAAAACTGAACATCCATCTTCTCCTTGAACGCGTCTTCCTAAACTTTCCTGGATATTCATTAACTGCTATTCGAATGCACGAAAATGCTACAAAGTGACTTCACAAACTTCGTAATAGATCTCACTTTTCAAGAGACGCGAAGCGGATTTACGAGAGAACATACTACTCGCATACTCTTATCAGTAGTATCCACCGTTACACCAGTAACACTTACTGGTGCTTAACTACCATGTACCCATGAGGGGAGAATACAAAGAGAAGGGAAAAGTGGGAGCTTTTGTGCGAAGACATTCTGTGTCCATAAAGAAAACGCTTACGAATAAGGGGTCATCAACGGGATCAAATCAGCGTCGTTTGCGAACCTTGTCCGACGTGAGCCCAGGGCACAACAACAGGCGAACATTAGCAATAGAGTTCTGCTAGAAAATGACGGCATTTGCCCCACTAGCTTCGGTTGTGTGCCATGTCCCGCAGAGTTTCCAACCACGTGCAAGCAGCAACACGTGGGCCTCGGCCAGGAAGGCACGAAGATCCCAAAGCACTCATTTTGACAGTAACCGCTGTCATTTCACGTGGCGTCCCCCGCGAACCTTTCACCAACATTCGATTGGAATAGAAAACCGCTTTCTTCGACCGATGGTAGTCGGCCATAGGTGGCACATGTTCCAGGCACCTCAACCTAGTAAGTTTAATATGCTACTCTAACGGATCGGGTTCACTACCAAGTGCCCGCTTACGCACCGTTTCGTTGCACACTCGCTGCAGTCAGTTTAATCTTGCTATGCAGCGAACGCACCGGTGGTCAAACACTTGAAGACGCATAAGGTACTCGGATCAGGGGGGGGGGCAAGTTTCACAGGTATAGAATGAGAGTATACACACGTAGCTAAACTACCGTTAGCTATTCTATCGCTTGATGGGAACACTACGGGTCCTCAAACATCCTCTGCCGCAAAGGTGATAGTCTCCATTTTAAACTCTAGCGAAAGGATTGGGGAGAGTGACAGTTCGTGACATGGCATCTCGAAAGGAAAGTGGTACAGTGTCACTGAGTGCTGTAAGACCTTAGCTCTTCCCTAGCTGGAGTACGCATGATTCTCCTTACATATAGCTGCAAACTTAACGGGACGGCACGTAACCGACTCCAATGGCGAGGATGCCGTCACACTTTAGTTGGACGATCTAACTAAACTGTTTGATTTTGCGTGCAATGGTTGGCAATTCTTATAAGAACGCTAGCTTGATACCGCTGTTCAGATGTGTTTACCTCAATACCCTTAGGATTAGTAAGCACTTCATTTTTTTGCGAGGGTGGGTGGACACAGGGCCTCGATGGAGTTGTAGCCAACCCTGTTAGTTTTTCCACCAGATTTTGTTCTTCGATTTACTTCTGGTGTGTTGCTGCTCAAGACAGTGTTGATGGTAATGTTGCTTATCCGCATTTATTAGGAGAATACTTCTCCTTCCATGTACATGGCCAACTTGTCGCCAACGTGTTAATTGACTTTTCGGCGATTACTACTAATTTCACCTTATTTGTGACGTATTAAAATGGGAAGGTCTTCGTGAGAGTCGGTTGAAGCACACTCATTCTGACTCCTCGCATTCTTCACTCAGTAGGGCAAGAACTGAACGCATCTTATAAACATTCCAATAGGTGAATCTGAACGGCTCACCTATTTGTGTATCAAGCTGTAGTGTGGGCTGTTTTGTTGTATGGCTGTGAGACTTGGCCTGCTCGAGCAGCGGAACTGAGACGTCTTCAGGTGTTCGACAATCGTTGTCTCAGAACCATAGCTCGTGTGGATTGGTGTCGGCGAATCCGTAACAAGACAATCAGAAAGCGAGTTTTCGGTTGTGCAACGAGTAATTCCATTGAAGAATGTATCCAGCCCCAGAAACTGCGTTGGTTGGGACATGTGATGCATAAGCTCAACCATCATTTGCCGAAGAAAGTGCTTGTTTTCCATGCCCAACTTGGGCAGAGGAGTATGAAGGAGATTACGAAACGTTTGGGTGCTGTCGGTGCTATCCGCCTTCCAGGATGGAGACCGCGTGATCCCCACTGTACCCGGTTGTAGACACTGGAATATATGGCTTCCAAACGATGTCAGCGGTGTTCTTGTTGTCGGTTTCTATCCACATTGTTTGAATGAGTGTTTGGAGGTATAGGCACCTCGGATTGATTGTCGTAAGCTAGCACTAAGTCACACGATGCCTTGTTTCCTGGGGATACAATAAACGGAGTTAAATTGGGATTATTTCAGAAAACAGTCAGGTTTCTTGCACCGATTATTGATGTAGAAAAGATGGAGAGATGAGATAATTCCCCTAACTTAGTCGTACTGTTCTCCGACTGAGTCCTAGGTATCGCGACGGAGACCACGATATTCCCCATGCATTTATAGCCAACCATTTCAACTACTCATTAATGGTTAGTAGCCGAATAAAATGGCGATCGTAGTATGACCATCATCGGAACAAAGCCGATCAGTGTCCATCCGTCGGTACAACCATAACTATGGGTAATCACCATACTGAATTATCAATGTATATATGGGTTGGCTAAGGGAAGCTCAATAAATGGAACTGGTGGCACCGATTGGAAATAGTCGGCCTTATTTGCGACGGCGTGCCAAGAAAGCCACCGGTCCTTGAAGGCACTACAGAGCAAGATGGCACAAAATCCACTCCAAGCCCTGATTCATGCTCCGGTGGCCGAAGACTTCCAAGAACAATTTAGCTGACCTGAGGTGTCCAGCATGACAATCAACGCACTAACAGCCTCACACTAGAACGTGAACTGTTTCGTCCCAATAGAAGCTGAGATCAAAAACGAGGTCCAACTACCGAAGCTAAACAAAGCACCAGCTTTCCACTCTCTTCTTTTTACCATGTTTGCGAATAGAGGCAGTGAACTAGTTCGCAGTCTGATAAATTTCACGTAGAGCATTGGGATGATGATCGGCAGATATCTGACGTCGCTTCTTTTTTCAAAAGCGTTAGATGTGAGTGTGAGAATAGTCGGGTATCGGTTTAGTCACCATCGCCTCTATGTAGGCTTACTAGCGAGAGACAGTTGTGGGAACTAAGCCGGATTCCACCCATATTGTGGATGAATTGACCACAGTTTCACCTTACGATAACTTCTCGAGCACCGCCACACAAACAGAAGGCCAACGACTGTTGTCTGCTTTGACCTGAAGACAGTATTGGACTCAGCCGATTTCGTTACTTTGTGATGATGTTTCTTCTCCATCATTTTCGTCAAACCTTTCCACTCGGTATACTCCAACATCCGTGAGTTTACGGAAAGTACTCTTCTGAATTCATCGCCAAAAGTGGTGTACGTCAGGACAGGGTTTTGTCACCTTTTTCCCTTAAGTCCGTGACCGGATAAACATTCCCTATGTCTTCTGCCTTTGTTGTGAAGCTTCTCCCCGTGGAAGACTCTAAAGACTTGGAGTAGGCGGAAGATATTGCGTTACTTGGTTCAGATTCTATCTAGATACATAGTGCATTCAATAACCCCAGTAATGCCCATATGCGTTTTGTTGTATGCTTTGCACCCTCACAGTGCAAAGTGCTATTACAAGACTGCGAGTGCGCCACCAAAGCTGGGCATGGAATCAGGACCACTAGAGACAATGGACAGATTTGCCTGCATGGGTAGGTGCATCGCGTCGGATGGCAGCATTGCTGGCCAGTCGCTAAAGCCTGTTATGCATTCCTTCAAATTAGGCCCGTTTGGAGTCAGTGACATTAACTTGTCGGTGGGAGACAAGGTCTATGACGCGGCAGTGTCCACTGTTAATGTATGGTTGTGGGGCTGTGCTTTGAAGATATGAACATTGTCGGTGTCTTCGGGACATTGTGAATCTATCATGGAAACACCGAATTAGCAATACTGAGGCCTTTTTTGACAGTAAATCACTTGTTTGACCAATTGGTGAGTTTATTCGGCTGCATCAGCTACACTGGATCAGGCATGTGCTCTTTATTCTGATGATCGATTGCCTCACTGTGCCCTGTTTGCTGAGGTAGGTTTTGGCTGGAAGATAAGCAAGTTGGACGGCCCGAAGTTGGAACATGAGAAACAGCAAAATGTCCGGGCTACACTAGTTCATGTCGGCTTCAGGATTGGGGTATCAGAGACCTACCACATCAGTAGTTGAAGTTACTTACCGCCATGGCGATGTGATGCAAAAAGTGGTGCTACTGTATCCATTCTCTCGTTCTTACTCATTAATCCGCCACTTTTCTCCTTTTGTTTCAAATGGTCTTCCGTATACCCTCTTTCCCACACTACCTGCTGCGGCCATAAGCTGCGACCACCTGAACCACCGTACGTGTGCACATGGTTCACGAAGTGAACTGAATCCGAAATAAGATTTTGTGACAACATGGTCGGCGCTACGTTGAAATCAGTAATGAGCGCTTTTTCGGCAGAGAGCTGTAGACGCAGTACTTACATTTCCAGAGGTATACATCACTATTAATGCTAATGTACTTGCCATTTCTCGTGCACCACCCTGGTGTTATATTGCGCTAATCGATTCACTTTTGAAGGGTCAGATTTATAAGAGTTGGACTGACATTGCCCTCAACGAGCATACACCGAACACTTCGGGCTAGTTACTCCAGCTGCATCCTTACTTTTAAGCAGCAGAATCTGACAAGATCACCGTTGCTTCATTGTCAGTGTATTGAGACGAACTCCTGTAACGAAAAGAAGAAAATTGGATAGGGAGATGGGAATAGTGCTGGACTGCCACAAACACTTGAAGTATGTGGATCTCCAACACTCAGTCAAACACTCCAAATAGTGGCTGATAGCATGAATGTCGCTAACATCAGTCAAGCACAGGGAAGCCTATACCTGGGAAATGGACAATCCCCAGACTTTTCGCAACACTTTCTATCCGTTTTTCCAGATCGTATCTCCGTCTTTATGTACGGGATAGACGGTAACACGGCATGCTTGCATATGGGCAAGCAATCTTAGTTTGCAATTCTGAGTGCATCCGTCAAGTGAAATGTCTATCGCCTCATCAAACACTGGTTCTCTGGACTTCATATTGAGTGCTGCACAGAGACTCTATGTGAGCAGCACATAAGTGTTGCAGGTTTTCGTCCCAGTCCGTGTGTCTGCACTGTAGCCCGGGACGGCCACCCTCACTGAACCTGAGCAGCACTGAGTCTGTTTACTTGCGTGCTCATTTTTCCGACAACCACAACATTACATGAGCCTTTAACCTCCTGTAATAAGGCGCCTGTCTTTGAAAGTGCAGACCTGAATAGATACGCTAGACACATATCGATCGCCAGTGCATTTACCGGATGCTTCCACCACATTCAGACGGCTGTTAACAGGTAGTTAGTCAAACGGATCTTTTCTATTGATGGCTTAAGGCGGTATGAACACTGACAGAACCAGTCTTGGTGGGGGTTCTTTATCGTCAGATTTGCGCAGCTGGAAGCGAGAAAATACCGGTGGGGAGGTCAGTTCAACAATCGTAGTTGGGTCTTAGATCTACGTTTTAGGTAGACATCACACATCAGTAGAAGGCTCTCCATCGTGCAAGCAAGAAAAGTTCGCCGTTAAGCTTCTTTATGAATGCGAATTGTAAACACAGCCGGATAAACTGATTTCGAACTATCTGCTTCGGTGGTAGCCGAGGTACGCCTAGACGTCGCAGAGTAAGGGGCTGTCAGTTCTCAAAGATGAGCCTACGAAGAGCTCGCTATCGATGGGGTAAGGTCTCGTTAAAGACACTGGAGAAGCATCAACAGTAGCCTGTTCTCGTTAACCCAGCCTGCTGTATGTGGCATGCATGTAAGCAAGTTCCGATATCGATTTGGCCTAGCATTACTTGTAGTTGTGCTGTCTATGGTCGCACTTGGGTGGACGGTTATTGTCCTCAACTAAAGCATTAGGCCAAAAATCTACGCGCAAGACAGCGACGTTTGACGTAATACCACCAGAGCGGCGTAAAATTCTTAGGAAGCCAATCCTGAAAAACGTTCTATTCGGAGACTGTGTTAGTCGGTCGTCTTCCCACTGAGCAACTTGGTATTCGAGGCTCTGCGGTTGCCATACGTACATCTCCCAGTATAGCTCAGTGGATTATGGAGGTACATAAACTGTCACACCACCCCAAGGTCCAGTCATTTCGTGACGGCCTAACTTTTAACGACCAAGGGCAGTCTGTTTTAGAGGTCAAAATACTGCCCTTCACACTCGATCGTCAGGTACTATGGAAACCTGCCGATCAGATATATTCCATCTGTATTACAGTAATCTCCCATCGAGAAACTGCCATGAGAAGCTTTCCCTTTTGTTGGGGGATCGGTCACCGTATCGTCCATCCTGGAAACAATGAGACAACTCTTATGTGAACTCCTACGTACACACGAAGCTGTTGTAGTCAGTACTAATAGATAAGCTTATCTTCCAAATACCTTTCTCCTATAAGTTGGTTTTTGGTTATGCCACTTGAGCTCCCTTTAGACGCCGTGAATAGTCTAATAGGGGAAATACTGTCGGCGTGTCAGCTCACAGATGGAAATCCGTGAAAATGGAATTAAATGGAGACCCCTGATCGAGTCACACCAAGAGTAAATGCCCCTAACTGACGTGGCCCAAACTGACAGTTGACCTTGTATCAGATTCAATGTTCCGTTGTATAAACTGCAGTTGTGTCAGACAAGTCATGCTGTCCAACCTCTAACTTTGATACACCATCAACCCTCACCATTCTCTCTCATTTAGATAAACGAAGTAGCTGAAATCAGTATACTGTTGGCACCTTACCTGTGGTTGGGCGGCCTAAATGAAATGATCTGTTTTACTCCAATACAGGCGATATTGCTCTTCTCAGTTCAGATTCTTCGAAGTTGTGAATCACTCTAAATGACCAAAGTAGGTCTGCCGGACGACTTGGTCTGCGCGTCAAACCTGCAAAGTGTAAAGTGCTGCTACAAGACTGAGTGGGATGAAGCAAACCACATGCTTGCAATCGACGTTGTAGATAAATTTGTTTACCTGGACAGTTGTGCAAGTTCCGGTGGACTGGCTGGAGACGAGATTACTTCTCGTAATTGGAAGACCGGGACAGCCTTTGTGGATGTCCGATATCTATGACGCCGACGTGACGTCAGTTTGTCTGTCGAGCGTAGAATTTATACTGCGGCAGTGTAGGGATTAGAAATGTGGCCCCTACACGCAGAAGACATAAAACAACTGTCATCGTTTGACCATCGCTGTGTCCGAATCATTGGTCGGGTTTGGTAGGAACATCGGATTAGCAATGCTGAGGTACGCCGGATCGTTTTAGGAGGAAAGAGCTTTCCCACGATTAGCGAATTACTCGCGCTTCATAGGCTATGCTGGTTAGGACATGTACTCCACACACCAGCCCTGTGCTGAGTAGAAGTAACCGAGAAGTGAACAGTGCATGACTTGGCAACGAACTATGAAAACACTAAACATTAAGCTGAATTGGATCGACAATTGCCGCCTCTGTGGATGCGAACCTTGGCACTCAACTCAACAATGGTTAATTAGGGTGGCAGACAGTTGTTGACGTTCATGTACCATGTTCTCCAATGCTGCCGAGTTTCCGGACTGACTGAACATGCCATTGACTCCAAGGTTTGGCTGTATATCCCACGCTCTCACTTTCAGGTGATCGAGACTGCAGCAGCTGGAACCAAGTGCTCATGGTACATGGTTTTTAGCTGATAAACTGAAGTGAACTGTTTTAGTTCAGTGGATTCGTGACCCAGTTGTACTTTCTTAAAGACAATTTGTTTTCACTATGTAACCGGCTGTACTCTTATTTTTTCTCAGGAAAACTGTTTTCTCAACTTGGAAGCACCAATTGTTCGAGTCGCGGGTGCTGACACTCCGTTTCCACATATTTTTGAGGTGTTCTACCTGCCAGATCGTCTACGGTGTTTGGATGCCATCAAACACGTGGTGAATTTTTGATACGTCAACTCCAATCAACACAATTTTGCGATCCTATCTATCGTTTCCAAATTCTACCCGCGGCGGTTGGCCTTTTAGCATTGTCGCTGCGGACGATTGGTCTCCACACCCCCGGTTCTCAATTACACCTGAAAACAATGTCTATATGCCTTTGTATTCTTCCTGCTTGTTATTTTTCTAGACATATTTTTTGATTTCCTTGACTTTGCTCCCGAGTTAAACTTTAACCGGCACATTTCGTTGAATTCGCTCTTTGTGGGATGGCTGAATGTACGGAATTCGATGGTCCCGATTTATTCTGATTACGTTTCCGAAAACTCAAATCCATTCCTCTGCTTGCTGACATGGTCTTTTTATCCGGTACCTGTCGAAAGCCTGGAGTCTGGTGTCCCTGCCAGTCCTAATTATTAGTTGGATTCATTTCTAACTTAAGTTTGTCCTTCGGTGTACTAGTGGAACTCCTAAACCTATGATCGGGTGATGAACTAGTTCTTTCGGTACATCCACGCGCGGACCACGTCTTCTGGCGTTTCCTTTGTGTGTGGTAACGCAACCAATGTGGAGTTCAGAGTTTTCTTTCACGAACCTTCAGGAATGGGGAAGGAATGGGTGTCGAATCCGATCGTTGTCGTTCATCTGGCCATTTTTAGCAATTTGAATATCTGTCTTTTGACAAGAACATAGATAAGGGTATGAGACTACCTGGGACTTTGCTAATTCAATGGAGAGGCAAAACGTGCGGTTTGTGCACGAAGCAATGTTGGTAACAAAGCTTAGCAGAGTGATAATTTCAACATGCGGGGCGAACCTGTTACCGGTACTCCACCAACGCACGATGGACGCCCCTGGATTGCCACGTTTGAAAAGGCGAACGTATTCATACTTAAATGGTGCAATCGGCTTGCCCGATCTCTCGGACGGTGACCTTGTTTGTGTCGGTCGATTGACTCGCCTGTCAGGACTTCCCAGTCAGCGTCACGGACGCTTGAAACCTAATGGACAATTTCCAAATCAGCCGGAGGTGGTCGTAGGATTTGTAGAAATCACATCCACATCACCTTATGCATAGTCTTCTTCCTGTCCAGGGGATAATTATTCCGGAGAGTCCACATTATGAGCTAAGCACTGGATCCGAGTTCCGCTCATCAACAGTGTACACCTTCGGTCGTGCCAGGGTTTGAAATGTGGACATATGACATAAAAGGCGGGCGCAAGCTGGGCGCACCTGAATGATCGCGTTTCCATCCAGAATAATCACGGAATGGGGATTACAACCCAAACGCACTGCTTCGAAACCTTTTTTGTACTCTATTTTGACTGTTAAATCTGGATGAGCATAGCCTCGTCGATGAATAAGTATTTCTACTCTCATTTGTGTGGCAGTGGGAGCGAGATGAGCAAAGTGGTTGGAGTGCGAATTTACTGGCGGGAAGTTACGTGGTTCGAACCCGACCTCCGCCTCTCGACTTTCCCTGTCTACGCTTGGGCAACCATGCAGTATCCCAGCTCTCGTGCTTCCTTCGTGTGGCATGGCAGCTAGGCACCGAAAGGGTGCTACAGCTGAACGGTTTTTTGTGTGGCAGTACATGTTCCCCTTCACAAGAAACACTATTCAGAACACCCACAATGTTCTCATTTTCGAGGTATCGCCCACTTGTACGTTCGGTCCAAGGCGAATCCACAATCGAAAACTTGGTTTTTCAGCTCCCATAGGCCATAGCTGAAGTTTACAAACAGAAAAAACATTAAATGAACAAAATTTTAAGAAACTTACCGAGCTACGCTCTTCCACAATTCGGATAAATCACTACTTACTTTTTTCCCCTTTTTCCGGAAAGTGGCGTCCTTCTACATGAACCATCTTCGTCTGAATATGTGAGCATTTACTTGGTCATTCTTCGGTAAGTTGTTTGGTATGAACTGTGCGTCTTTGGTGACAGTGGGCAACAATGCATACATTCTTAGCTTTTCATTTGCTCCGTACTGCTTTGTTGGGCCTCACAGACTTGGTCTCTTCAGCGAAAGCCAAATAGCTCCATTGACAAGCCATCAATAGAACTACTCTGTTACTACTCCACAGATCGAACAAGTACTAAGGTCCGTTCAAGCACAGACGGATTATCACTTACCCAGATCTGTTATGCATGAGTGGGTCCCGGTCCGTTTTGTTTCATTTGGTAAGATACATGAAATCACGGGTGTACTGTAAACCACTCCCATACGATGGCTGTTTGGTTCATTCTCGAATGTTATGTTGCAAATATAAAATAGTTACTGATTTCGAAATACACTCATTTGCAAACAAATTTGGTTTTGCGTGAGACCCACCTGGAACCCAGCAGAATTTCTTATCTATGATGTTGACGGAAACTCGGGGATTGCGCCCACCTGATGAACCCCAAGAAGGACGAAACCGGTCGTGGGCTGTCGAAGAATGTTCAGCAACCTTATGAATAGTGTATTACGTCTTTACATGTATCGCGATGCCTCGAACAACTGAAACATGAGGTGGCCTGGTGCAGCACATTCATTTGCCTGGAAACATCACAAAAAAGAGATTCAGCTGGGTTCCAGGTGAGTTTCCCGCAAAGTCAAAGTTGTTTGCAAATGAGTGTATATCGCTAATTCCATGCAATTTGGGTTGAAGTAGAACATGGAGTTAACGGAAACTCGGCGACTGCGCCAAGAGGAGCCCCAAGAGGAGCGAAACCGGTCGTGGGCTGTCGAAGAGTTTTCAGCAACTTTGTGAATAGTTTCTTTTAGGCTAGATGGATTATTTTTGGCATAGTGGAGTCTTCACATTGGAAGAAAATACTGAGTCGCGAAGTTATTTCTTTGTAGAAAGTGAATGCTGTTTGCACAATGGAAGTCACTACCATTCGGTAACGGTTTTTTCCAGAAGTGCTCATCGATTAGAGTTGATTAGTTCTTCATTAGGACGCGGCTTTCTGCCTTAGACGAAGCTCACCCGTTGTTCTCCGTAATTTTTAATTTCATACATCCAGACCCGCTAATAAAAAATCATAAAATTCGACTCCAGTTCCCACTGCGGTTGAGAAGCATCGCGACCAATCAATCAATTTATCAGCCATAAACGGTGTACCATAGGCACGTTGGATTCAGCTGCTACAGTTTCGATCACCGGAAAACGGGAGTGTTGGGCATACAGCCAAGCCTTGGAGGCGGTGGTATGTTCAGGTGGTTCGGGAAAAGACTACCTACGGATTGAAGGCGATAGCTTTGATGGATAAGCGCCACTGACTGTGCGATGGGGCCATTTTGATGCATCGCGAAACGTGGCACATACCGAGAAACCAGCTATGACGTGTGTTGGTGACATGAAAACATGCTCTGTCTCTTAATGGTTTAACTTCTACGCATCTTCGTATGCTTTTCTATCGATCTAGGGCGATGGTGGTCAGGCCGACTGGTTCCGTCACATCCGACTGGTTTCTTCGTTTTGATCAGTAAACTAATATTTGGAATGCAAGTTTGCTCGCACTACCAGAGAGTAACGAAATTAACAAGGTCACTCTGTATGCGTACATCACTTTGTCGTGTGGGATGAAATGCCGGTACAAGTTCATACAGCTTACTGTATTTTGGTTCAATGGTAGCCAATGGTGAACACTGTTCTGGCCTCCACGGGGGGCTTCTCTAAGGGGCCGGCTGCACAGAGGAAGACAGGACCTACTTGTCCAACTGTCTTTTGTTCTGATTCCGGAGTCGTAGACATACGGCAGTGAACTAGCACAAATTAGGTGTGCGGCTTCAAACCTCATTTGTGTCTTTTAAAAACCGGCTAGGATCACAGGGTATTTCTCGAGTTTAGCGCAAGGTTGGACTGGTTCGGTCCTTATTCAAAAATTCACATGGTAAGTCCGATGAAGAAGTAGGTAACGTAGAACCTTCGGGTGAGCATAGATCGTTTAGGGGCATGGTTTGAAATACGTAGCTATATACATTAGGAATGAAGACAACGCAACATTTAACAAAGCAGAGCACAACTCTTCCGCTTAGTCATCATTGTCCCGTTCGAATGTTCTCTCAAAAACTGGCAACTCAGATTAACGCATCACATACTCCGGGAACGGATTGAGGATAAAGTGCACGTATGAAACTTCACAAAGATTATGCACATAGAATCAGTAGCGAGCGGTGGAAAGAGTTCTGATTGTGGCTTGCTTGCTCAGTGTGACGCGTACCACACCGAGAGACAGATTGCTCACAATACAGTACACTTGAGCGCGTTGCACCACAAGTGACCCTAGGAAATCTACTGTCGTACAAGTTTGCATGTATGGTTTGAGAATATATCTTATACAGTTAATACATACAGTATACTCTGACTTGCGGACCATGTTGATATGAAAATAAGCTGTCCGAAACATTGATGTGGGTGTTTGATATATAGTTCACAGTTGGTGTACATATCGGTGCATTGGTACATCGGTACATACGCTCTTAGTTAGTGAAGCCTGTCAACCACACGGGACACAGTCACTGTGCGACGAACTGAGCAACAAACTTCAGTGTGCTGAGAAATAATTTTGATGGATAAAGGGTGAAACCGTGGAAGCAGCTTATCAGCGAAACAACGTATTTTGTGATGGTCCATTTTCTCATGTGAAACTTAGTTGACCTTTACCTCAAACTGAGCTTTGAAGCATGAGTTTCGCTTTTGCTGCTTTTGCCGCAATTCATATGTGTGCATAGGTGAGTGAAATATTCGCGTGACCGTCTGATTTCGTGTATAGTTTTATTCCCATTACACACACCGTTTTTACCGAAATGTAAAAAAGCCCGAGGTATCCATCATCTTACTGTTCCTCATTACACTGGTTGGCCAGAGGTTGGCTACTCCAAATGAAAGGTTAAGACAGTGCGAAGTAACTGTGTGCTCGCATACTACCAGAATCAGTAGAGCCTCGTTGTTGGGGAGATATATTTGTGAAGCAAGCTTCCCACAGCAGTTGTCAATGTGCCATACAATACTCCTAGTTGCGTATTATCAAACGCCTTTTGAACAGCTCCCCCGCTTGAATCTAGTCTTTACATTACCACCTTGGGATCACAGTATCTCTCCAGTTCTTCCTCAGAATATCGAGTCCCTCCCTTGAAAGACCGCTTTGTCTTGTCTTTGTAATCCGTAACATTGAACTGATATGTGAAGGAGACCGAGGAACGGGCGTTTTCGAACCTATTTCTTGCCAACATATATATCTTTCCCGGAAATTGGGCTTGACGCCCAAGTTGCCCTCTATTCGGCCATGACGCTAAGATCAGATTTATAAGTGGTCCGCAGTATACAATCTTGGTAATTATCAAGATGCCCGGCAAGTGA